TTATAGCTAGTGTCAGTGCTTAATTACAACTTCAACCCTCAACCCCTAATATTTACGCTTAATGTCTGATCCTAACTAGGAACGATATAGGAACTCTTAAGAATCTCTTGGACTCCATTTGAGGGTTCAAATGCATGAACATTATATCCATCAAGATGAATATGCTGATGATCTTTCGAGTTATGTGTATAGTAACCTGTAGGAGAAATAAACAGAATTATTATGTAAAATCTATATATATTTTGATACATTACTGTTTTTTTTCCAAATACTATCCGTTTGTACAAGCTGTTTACTGATTTACTGAGAACTAACTGTAATTCCACTTCAGTTGTTTTAAGCTCACCTCATGTAATTTATTCGAAACCTGATGATATCAGCTTATATTTTCGATTATCACGTCATAATCTCATGCTCGTGTGAGTTCTGATTGTCGTTGATGGCTTACATTATTCCATATGCTTACTGAGTTGTCGACTAACATTTTCTCTTGTTCGTTTCTTTCTCAGATTCTTTCACACACTGTTCGTCACACAAGCTGCTTACAGGTTAGACGTAAACTAACCAAAGTCTCAACGCTACAGTGTTGAGTACACTTTTACTGAGGATACAACCACGTCTTCGTTTGTTTCACCCTAGACTAATAAAAAGCGATGGGATCACTTCACTTTCAATAGAATTTAATTACTTTATATATAAGCATATGCGCCTACCAACGACTACAATGAAGACGCTAAAGATCAATTCTACATTTGGCTGCAGTCAATCGTCGAGAAGTGCCCAACAAAGGACCTGTCCATTCTGATGGGAGATTTAAATGCCAAGATTGGAATGGACAACACCGGATATGAAGACATCATGGGACGACACGGACTGGGAGAAAGGAACGAAAATGGTGAGAGATTTGCAAACTATGCGCCTTCAATAAACTGGTCATGGAGGACGTGAGAACCATGAAAGGAGCTGATATAGCATCAGATCATCACTTGCTGGTCGCCAAGATGAAATTGAAACTCAAGAAGCACTGGACAATGGGGCGGACAATATCTCAAAAGTTCAATACAACTTTTTTTCTGGATACTGACAAACTCAACAAATTCAAGATAGTCCTCAGCAATAGGTTCCAGGCTTTTCATGATCTACTCAATAGAGATGGAACTACTATGGAGAGCAACAGGAAGGGGATCAAAGAGGCAATCACTTCAACGTGCCATGAGGTCCTGGGTCACAAGAAGCACTATCACAAGGAATGGGTCACTGTTGATACACTGAATAAGATTCAAGAAAGGAGGAACAAGAAGGCAGCAGTCAATACCAGCCGAACAAGGGCAGAAAAAACCAAGGCACAAGCTGAATACACAGAAGTAAGCGAGCAAGTGAGGAGGAGCATCAGAACCGACAAACGTAAATATGTGGAAGATTTAGCAATGACGGCGGAAAAGGCTGCAAGAGAGGGAAACATGAGAGAACTGTATGACATAACAAAGAAACTGACTGGAAATCACCGTAAACCAGAACGACCAGTGAAAAGCAAGGAAGGCGAGATAATCACCAACATTGAAGAGCAACGAAACAGGTGGGTAGAACGCTTCAAAGAACTCTTGAATCGACCAGCTCCACTGAACCCACCCAACATCGAAGCAGCACCCACGGACCTCCCAATCAATGTTAGCCCACCAACAATTGAAGAAATCAGCATGGCCATCAGACAAATCAAGAGTGGCAAAGCAGCAGGACCGGACAACATCCCAGCAGAGGCACTAAAGGCAGACGTAGCGGCAACTGCAAAGATACTCCACATTCTCTTCAATAAGACTTGGGATGAGGAACAAGTACCAACAGACTGGAAAGAAAGACTTCTGGTCAAAATACCAAAGAAAGGCGATCTCAGCAAGTGTGATAACTACAGGGGCATCACTCTTCTCTCAATACCGGGAAAAGTCTTCAACAGGGTATTGTTAAACAGGATGAATGACTGCGTAGACGCCCAACTTCGTGACCAACAGGCAGGATTCCGTAAGGATAGATCGTGTACAGACCAAATCGCAACTCTACGGATCATTGTGGAACAATCAATTGGATGGAATTCATCTCCCTACATCAACTTCATTGACTACGAGGAAGCATTTGACAGCGTGAACAGAACAACACTATGGAAGCTTCTTTGACACTACGGCGTACCTTAGAAGATAGTCAATATAATACAAAATTCCTACGATGGATTACACTGCAAAATCGTGCATGGAGGACAGTTGATAAACTCCCTCGAAGTAAAGACCGGTGTCAGGCAAGGTTGCTTACTCTCACCCTTTCTCTTTCTCCTAGTGATCGACTGGAAAGTACGGGATACAGTGGACATCTAGGATCCAGTTGGACGATCTAGACTTCGCAGATGATCTGGCTTTTCTATCGCACACGCAACAACAAATGCAGGAGAAGACGACCAGTTTGGCATCAGCGTTAGCAGCAGTAGGTCTCAATATACACAAAGGGAAAAGCAAGATTCTCCGATACAACACCGCATGCACCAATTCAGTCACACTTGACGGAGAAGATTTGGAAGATGTAAAAACCTTTACACATTTGGGCAACATCATTGATGAACAGGGTGGATCTGATGCACATGTGAAGGCGCGGATCGGTAAAGCAAGAGCAGCATATTTACAATTGAAGAACATATGGAACTGAAAACAACTATCAACCAACACCAAGGTCAGGGTTTTCAATACAAATGTCAAGACAGTCCTACTGTATGGGGCGGAAATCTGGAGAACTACGAAAACCATCATCCAGAAGATACAGGCATTTATTAACAGTTGTCTAAGCAAAATACTTTGAATCCGTTGGCCGTACACTATTAGCAACAACCTACTGTGGGAGAGAACAAACCAGATCCCAGTGGAGGAAGAAATTAAGAAGAAGCACTGGAAATGGATAGGACACAAGACAAGCCCTCACAAGGAATCCTGAAGGCCAAGGGAGAGGAAGACCAAAGAACACATTACGCACGGAAATGGAGATAGACATGGGGAAAATGAACAGGAATTGGGTGGAACTAGAAAAGAAGGCCCATGACAGAGTGGGTTGGAGAATGCTGGTCGGCGGCACATGGTCCGTTAGGAGTAACAGGCGTAATTAAGTAAGTAATATATAAGCGTGGATTAGGAAATTTCCTAATCAAACCCACTCACTTATTAGACCTTATTTGTCAGGCAATACAAAATTTACACATTAATCCCTAACTTATTTTCCCTATGATTCGTCAATTGTAGTTTTGTCATAGAACAAAAACAACCGAATTTCACATGAAAAATGACAAAAATGTGCACATATTTTAATGATACGTAATTTATAGGACGTTTGAAATTTTTTAAGAGACGATGCAAAATCCCATTCAATAACTGAACATTCATGATCACATCTTAATGCCTGTTAGCGAACTCCAGCAGAATAAATAAGCCATTGTCCAACTAAGTATTGAAATTTCAACTCTGGGAATGCATATTAAATAAGTATTCCGTGTTGTTAAACAAGTGTATAGAAGTTTAGTTCCATCAAAAAGCAAAGAGGATAAACTCATTTTATTCGTACTAATATTCTGATGTTTGCATATAAAAAGAGGTACCTAAAGTTTACAGTAGTTTAAATTGTTTATTCTGCTTGGTGTTTTTTAGCAAGGTGATTTTCTAGGGGATAGAATTGCTGACCCCACCTCTAACCCTCCTTCTTTACTTAGGCTTGGGACCGGCTGTAACCTTGGAAAAGCTACAGGAGTATACCATCAGCAACAATCTACTGTGGCAGAGAACAAACTAACTTTCATCTGAAGAGGGAATTAGTAAAAGATGTTGGAAGTAAATAGGACACATATATTGGAAATCATCAAACTGCGTCATGAGGCAAGCCTTAACATGGAATAGTGAAGGGAGAAGAAAAAAAGGAGGACCAAGAAACACGTTTCATCGAGAATTGGACAGTTACATGAAGAAGAACAACAGCGACTGGAAATAACTGGAAAGGATTGCTCAGAACAGGTTTGGATGGAGAATGCCGGTGAGCGGCCTTTGCTTCTTTACGAGAAGTAACAGGTATAAGTAAGTAAATAAGTACTGCTTACAATGAAATTAAAATCTACCCCTTGAATAATTACTTTGTTGCTTAACCCGATCATTTTCTTGCATCTGTAATTGTTTACAGTGAATACCACAAGTCTACTGATTTACTTGATATATCTTGTTTATTTTGTTGTCTAGATGGTATAACATTAGTTGACAGCAAATTTCAAAGATTATAATTATTTCAAAAATGATCCAACTCATGAATGAATTATGTTTGAAGTATGTCACAAACATCTGCAGTATAGCCGCCATCTATTTAGCTAAGCTTATTAGTCAACATTAAATTTTATCATGAATTGATAGTCAGTACTTTCCTAAAAGTCTAGGATATCCACTAAGTTCAAAGGAAAGGCAATTAGTTTATGTGTAATATTCGATTTATTTGTCTATAGTAAAACTTGTGTAATCATATGTAATCATAACATAAAACTATTCTTAATGGATTTAATATCTGAGTTCTTAGTCATAATATTATTATTCATACATTACATTCATTATGTTTTAACACAAGTTGACTTTCACATTACAACTTGTGTATCTATTCTAATTTGTCTGTTTTAAAGTAGCTATCACTAGTTCTGTTTTTTTTTTGTTTTTTTTTGAAAGAAATATATCTCAAAACTGATTGGTGCTTTATCACTATGAGATGTAAAATAAAATAAATTCTTTGATTGGTCAATAATTCTATCATATCTATCATCTATAGAATATAAACTAACCAAATTGAAGTTTGTATTAAAGATATTCATTCTATTAAACTATTTTCTAATTATGTTACATCATTAATTTATTTAAGTAATAATGATGTTATTATTTTTAAAAAACTTATTTGGAAATCAAATTGTATTGTAGAATCATTTAAATTAAACAAAAAAAGAATAAATGAATTATTTATATATAAATAATTGTCCATTCAATACATTTACAATAACAACACTATTAAGTAAGTTTTCTTATTTGGATTTTGTTATGCGTAAATAATTCTTGGACATTGAAAAGATATATATATATATACTGGCATATTGCCAGTTATGTAATCATTTGGCTATTTTCTTTTCTTTTTGTATTACTAAATTTATCTGGGGTTACTGACTTGAAAGATATTCGATTGAAAACTAATTTTATCTAAAAAACAATAATTAACCGACACTGTTGTCAAGACAATACGCAGCTCGGTTCAATCATACTTGATCGATAGCGGTCATGTAGTGGACAGAAACAAGTAATTTAAAGTTATTTATCGTATTTCTACTAGTTTTCCTTATGGTGTTCGATTTCGTCTCTTCCACATAGCAGAAGCTATAGGAATTCGAGCCAACAATCCAAGTCTTTGTGTTCATAAGAAATTTGTAACACCCTTATCTCTCCCTTGGCCTTAATAAATGAATTTATTTATTATTATTTTCCATACTTTCTTTTCGTTTATTATTATTTTTTCTTCACCCCCTTCTACCATTTTCTTTTATTTTCTCTCAAATATACGTTTCACGGTCCAATTATCTGAACACTTCTTACTACGTAATCCTATAATTTTATAAATGTTATCTCACTGTCTATATTTTTCTAATCATTGACCTATTTTCGATTACGTAACATTGATTTGATTCTTTATTATTTTTAGCAAAACTAGTACACCGGTCATCATACTATTAATTTGCACTTTTCACTTATTATGTAATCCTTTTCATTGTTATAATTGACTCATAAACTACCTTGATTGGTTTAATAATTTCGTATATGCATATAAATATTACTGTATATTAGAATAAAGCCTGATGAAGATCTAATTGAAAACAATATTGTTCGCTTATATATGTTGTTCTAAAAAATGGTAGACGAATTATTATCTTATTTTCAGTTTTCATAGCGGAATTGATGTTTTCATTCTTTTTATGGTTATTATAACGTTATGATATAAGAAAAACTCTTACATAATAAAGGATTAAATATAAAATTATCTTGAATTTCCATATATAACATTTATCACTTGTCATAAGCAAATAGATATAAATGACTTATATACACATATACGAATACAAAGACTATAAATAGTAGGTTATTAACGCACTTTTATATGTGTGATTATGTATAAATAGTAACAGATACTAAAAATGTTCCAGTGAACGTTATATTGTAATAAATATTTAGTTTTTATGTGATTGATTGATAATTCAACTGTTTCAAATGTACGAGCGTCAATTTATCTATCACCGCAAGTAATACAATCACAGTATCTTTTGCGAAAGAGATTTAAATTAAGCATGTTCGCTTAATAAATAATTTTGACATATCAAATTTAAATTCTTGAATATTGTTAAAATAACTCATACCTGATGCTATATAAAGTGAAAATAAGCCAAATTTGATAATGGGCAGAATCTTTTGTTTATTTTTTACTAAAGTTATACAAATTATAGGACAAGCTTTAGAATACTGTTTGTTCAGTGAATATAATAAAAACCGTCTAATTAAATACTTAATAAAGGATACATTCAGGGAGTAAAGTGATAGGTAATGAATACGATATATACATATATATATATATGAAGATTTTTTCAAACACCGATTAGTTGTTCTACAGTATCTCAGTTATTATTTTTGCTTAAGTATGAGAAATAACACTTTCATTTCTTAAGTTTTGCAATTACATTTTACCATTTGAGTACCTACATGGTATAAAAATGAGATGCAAGGCGTTTTTTGCCACATATCTCAGATTTAAATGAAGAAAGCATTCAAATGTAACTTGGTGAGCTTATGGGTAGTGGCTAGTGGTGGTATCCAGTACTCACGTTCTCTCATATTTGGGACTTGTCAGCTGGATGTAGCTGCTGATCAATTACGGTCTTAAACATCAATGAGAAGATCCAAATAACCAATATATATATATATATATATATATATATATATATATATATATATATATATATGAATCAGGCAAGCTTAAGTTCGCGCTCTCCATCTAACTCTGTCCTGGGCATTTGACTGTCAATATTTTATAGGCGTCTGGTCAATGTATACTTCATCTCGTCTTATACAAGCTATGCTAAAAATACTTCCTCATTTTATCATTTACCTACATTTACATTTAAAAAATCTTAATGAAAAGGAAATAATAAAAATTATGAATAGAAATTATACTAACAGAGGATTTTTGTAGTGAAATACTTTTTGTCAACTGTCACCAGTTGTAAGATGATTTCAATTAAATAATAGATTTCACGTTCCAAGATACTTTTGTACTTACAACCAAGAACAGTAAATAACGCAACTATGATTTAATATAAATTCAACATGATTTGGCCTTAATCTTCAAGTTAGTGAAAGTTATTTACAAAAACATATCCTTTGTATTAATTATAAGATAATAGTCATGATATTTTCTAAATCAACATTTACAGTTAACTACACTTTGAATTATACATGATGAATTCCTTACATTTTGACTTCAGACTCTATTATGAAAATGTCGTCTATAATAATACCTAAGCTATCTTACAGTTCAGGTGATCATTCAAAATCATGAAAAAAAGACACTTATAGACATTACCAGTGTAGTTTCATGTACTCGAATAATTTTCTGTTATTCTCACAAAACACCAAACTTAGGATTGATTTTGTTTACAGATATTACTAATACTAAGCTTCTAAAAATCTTAAAAAAATCAACCCTGATGTTATTTATTAGTAAGAACTTATGGTATCATAGTCTGAATTTCAACATATCAGCAACTCAAAACATCCCTACGTCCCTGATTGTTAACATTACACTGCATTTCTCTTCAAATACATTTATAGATCAGTATATTTTTAAATAGTTTTGATATATTCAATTTGTATAAGAAATTGATTAGTAAGTTCCTTGATAGTTATAATTTTATAAAACATAAATAAACTTTGTACGATATAAGTTGATGGAACAACAACTGTAATTCATGTATCTACTGTATGATATGTTGTCTGACGTTTATAAACATATACAAATGTTTCTCAGTTGAACAGTCTTGATTCATATATATTCTTTAACATATATATAGTCAAATATACATTTACTTGGTATAGTATGGCTTGTATCTTCCTTTTGAGGTTTAAGACTGCAATTGATCAGTCTGTTATTGGCATATGTGCATACTGTGCATATGCCTCGATATTGCCTTAATTTACAAACTTTTTGTAAGCAATGATGGATAGAATGGAACGCGCGTCCTGGATTCCACTGCTAGCCACTATCCATCGTTGATTACAAAAATACATTTCCTTGTTTGTAAAGTGATCCAATACATAATTTTTTAAATGAGCAGTAATTTTTCTTTTTTTTAGGTATGAAAATAGTTTTTGTCATAATGATGTGTGTAAATGAACTACATACTTAAGCATTATTCATTCGTTTAAATCAATAAAACAATTTATTATTACATTTTATATCTATGCATTAAATAGAATGGTAGACTAACCATTATACCCCCCTAAAGAAAATAACGAAGCGTGATTATGGGGATTTTGTAATGCTAATAAATACACAATATTTTACGCAGTATAAATTTAAAAAATATTTAGTTTCTATCCGTTTTTTTCTTTTGGACATAAAGTAAAATTCTTTTTCTTTCTTTTTCTCCCAAATAAGTAAGAAAACGCAAACCTTATGTAAAACGTATTCAGACTTTATTTTAAGGATCGATTCATTATTTTAGTTTAACTATTTAAAAAAAAATTGTTTCCATGAACAGAATTAAACCGAGAAAAATGAAAAAACAACACTAGTACATTCTTTTTAGAAAAAAATATATTTGGGAGATGTTTATCAAGAGTGGACATTGGTAGTATTCGAAAATAAAAAAATCCAAATTTACTGATTAATATGTGGATTATTTGGGAATATTTTTTTGGTAGAGATTAAAGTTAATTCAATATAACGATTGTAAATGAAATGACTTCTAAGTATTAGATATCACTTTAATATTGTTTAGACGACAAGTATCAAATCAGACTTATACTTCACATATTGTAGTGAACAAGAACACCAGTGGGGACAATCGAATGTATTTCACACAAAATTACAGGACTTGTTAATAAAATCTAACAATCATAAAGGAAATGCTTAATTCGCAAAATGTCCATCACTTGTCTCAAAATGACTTAGACTTCATTTTTCTTGCATTTTCATATAAATTGCTTTCTATTCTCGCTCTTCCTTTCTTGATCTTCCCCATCTTCTGCTGCCAGACATTACACTCCTGACTCGCGTCATATACTACTTATATCAATTTAAGTAGCACGGACCACAATATGACCATGTTTTGTTTTTATTCATTATTGCATGATGAAAAGCAAATAAAATAAGATTTGGATATAAAAAGATGTTTTTATATTTACGGATTAGGTGTTTTATTTAGCGGCAAAAGATGGAATGTGTGGAATTTAGGGATATGATTTATTTTGCATTGTAACTAGTCTATACTTACATTTATTTAAGTTACTTCCTTCGGTTTAAAAAACCATTTCATTTTGAGTTTTGTCTTATAAGCTTTGAAATGTTAGATATGAATAACTAAAACGAATAATATTTTATGTCTTTTAAAATAAAAGATAAATGAGTAGTTTTAAGACTGAAAACTTTCGACAAGAATAAAAGCATGCTATTTTATTATAAGTATGGAAGTCAATTTATGCTTCTAAGGATTGAAGACTGAGTATAAATCACTGATGATATAAGTCAACTACTTCATTTCTCAGAATAAAAGCCACTTATCATAAGGTGGTTGATGCGTTTTATGCTAGTGAAATTATATAATTATTTTATATCATTTAGTTATACCTTCAAATCAAATCAGAGTATTTACTAAAACTATAAGAAAGTTTTTAGATATCAAAGTAAAATTTCCGCAACCTATTCATTCAATAATATGACATTCTATAAAATTCTAATATGAAGACAGTAATCAT